GACGGATCAAGCAAGTCAGTCTCAGAAGACTCAAACCGTAGGGATTAGTCAGAGTAAGAGTCAGTCTTTCGTTCTTCTAACAATACTTCTTCGTGTCTAAAAGATCATCACAGAAATGAATAAACTAGGTGAAGCTACTTTGTCGTTCCACGAGCTTCGTACGGATATGACTCCCAATGGGCAAGAAGTCAGGCCAGGAGAAAAACCTTTCCAGACCTTCGAATTTATCTTTTGGCGTCATTCAGCTGAAAGAGAAAGTCATGAGGACATGATGGTAGATTGCGATGAAGAAGATATATCTCGTTCTGAATCCGAGGAGAGAATGAGTGAGAGACCTTCCGCCAAAGAGGCGTCGGAAATTGAAGGAGACAGCGATGAGGAAAGAGATATTTCGAGATGTGAGTCTTAATTAATTGATTGATCGTTTTGCCTTCCTCAGTATTATTTAATACTCGATATTATAGCTAATAGAGGTTCGTATTTCGCTATGGATCCAAACGCGCTTCATGTTTTATTTCATTTTTACAGTCAGAATGAACAACGCACGCGCTCGCCGAATTGTAAGGATACCAACTCCTGTCTCAACATCTCGTCGAAGGGGAAGGCCTTCAAAAGGGCTTAGCTCTCACTCTCTCAAAAGGGCAATAACTCCAACGGCAGCCGTCCCGAAACGATCCGCTTATCATTCGACGCCTTGCGCTACCACAAAATCCCCTCTACAGGTAGTATTCACATCAGGAGAGATTTCGAAACTTATTGTATTTTTTAGTCTGAAAAAGCATCGAATTGCGACCAAGCCTCCCACACCGTCACGCACGGGGCGAGGGATAAAGTAGATTGTATCAGTCAGAACGATGATTATTCCAATCGAGCGAAGGTATGAATCACGTTTCCTTCAAGCTGTGCCTCTGTACATCATCCATGCTCAAATCATACAATAATTCAGCTCGAAGGAATCAACTCCGACGTTACTTGGCGTGACTTAGTCATCCATCGCGCAAATCGCGTAGGCCCGACACGCCAACCACGGACAGTAGTAAAACTTCAAACTCTCGAAGAAAGGCGCATCAATAATCGCGTTCCTCCAAAACAGAACGCCGGACCCGCACAACCGGCGGAACTGCCTGTGCCTGTTCAAGTTAGAAATAATTTAAATGACGCCATAGAAAGGCATTTGCAGGATTTGGGAAACCTCAAGGTTCGTGCTACAGTGTTTATTGATCATTAATTTTCAGAATTGATTTGTTGTTTAGAGTAGCAAAAGTGAGCTAGAGGTCGCACTCACTCGGAAGCAAATGGAGGTAAGAGTATATGAAGAAGAACTACGTAGGATCGTTATGAAAGAGAAGGTAAGATACTGATCTGGAATATCTGGAAAATCGACAGTTCAGCTATTATTTCTAGGAAATGAATCGTACCTTGGAAGCCGTGTTTTCTGGTTGAGTCTGTAGAGGTACGTTTCTTAGCTGTATCGTTCATAAGCGAGTCTTATAACATTAATTCAGGAAGCACCTAGATACTGTGACTAGACACATCCATGATCCTATACAATCGGCAGCCTGTCAACTGATCCAATTTGGACATATCGGACTCTGTGTCATTTGTATTCGTATATCATTGGGTAATCATGAACCTTTTTGCTACACAGTAGACCTCGAGCCAGTCAGGATAGAGCCACAATGACGCGGCGCCCGTCACTTCCACATCAGGCCTCAGTTTCGAGCTCGCTTCTGTCATCACGACCGGACTTGCGGTGGAGCGTTGATCCTCTCCGCTCGATAAAGCCAACGCGTCCTGGCAACTTGACACTGATGCATAATTCGGATGACGAATATATCATCGGCTGGCACTGAGTATTAATAGCGAGTCCTTGCATGCCTAGGTATAAAAGATGAGAGACAAAGTCACAAACGATAACAAGTTCATTTACATCCATTTCTCACTTAACATGGCCGCTATCCTCGGTAAACCCCTCGCAAAATGTTTCCCAGACTCTAATCTTTCTCAACTCGTGTTTCCTCCTCCCTCTACTTTCAATCCACTTAGGGATATCCCTGACCTTACTAGAAAGGTACCAGATTTGTTTTCCCCCAAAGAAGGATCTTCTTATCCTCTATGTCTTATTTAGGTGGTAATAGTCACAGGCGGCGCCGTTGGCATAGGTTATTACACTATTCTTGCTCTCCTTCAGAAGAATGCCAAAGCCTATATTGCCACGTGCTCGGAGACTAAGACGAACGAGGCTATTAGAAAATTGCTGGAAGAGACGGGAAGAGAAGCAATCTTTGTGCATCTCGATCTTGCCGGTCTCGCGAGTGTGAGGAGGGCAGCTCGAGAGTTTGCGAACAAAGAGGAGAAGCTGGATATTCTGTTTGATAATGCGTTAGTGTCTAGGTATCCGCTATCTTCAGAGCTAAAATATATTCAAGGGGTGTAATGCTTGTACCTTTGTTCCGTTTGATTCCGAGTCTCCGCTGGACTTTGTGGATCTCAACGAATTCTCCTTGAGGTGTATTTGATTAATATTCAAATACTTACATTTGACAGCAGTTGTAACTATTCCCCAAAAGAGCCTCAACCCAATCCTTAGTATCGAGCTCCCCTTACGTGAGTGCAATTCACATTTCTTGTTTTCTTCCACACTTCCTAATATGATGCATGATGATTCCGGAGAAATATGCATTCCAGATGAGGGAGTCCATCTTAATATTTGAGCAGGTTTGGTAGTTCAGTTGGTGAAAAGTCTGCTTAACAATAACACGCAGAAGGTCGCCAGTTTAAGTCCGGTCCAGATCCCCTTTTTATTTTTTTCTCTGTACTCCTTCAAGTAACGCAATGCAAGTATACCGCCAAGAATCGGCTATCTGGACTGGGATAGCACAGCAAACAGTCGCTGCTTATCATAATTTTCACAATCGATTATATATGAAACAAATAAGTCTAATATACAGACTGTCCATTAATACACGTGCATGGTATCGTTTATAAAAGGGGTAACTGTTCACTGAGCTTCCTCCACTCTCCAGACCTTAACAAGTCCTGTGCGATCTCCACTAATAATCGACCCTCTGAAGGGAGAATCTAAACACGCAAGCGCGGTGATACAATCTTGATGTGCCCGCAAAAGACTCTGTTGATGGTGAGAGATAGTATTCGTCCGGGACACCACCCGCTGATTCTGGTTTGACTGAAATCCATCCCGCTTATTTAAGGTCTCCACGTATGCTACGGGCTCATTATCACCGCTCTTAACCATGCTGGATAAATCATTAATCAATATTTACACAATATACGAGTGAAATTGAGAAACTTACGCAAAGGACGTTTTGTCTGATTCAACATCTGACCCGCTTAGAGTCACTGAGCGTTCTATGTGAGTCAGGTCCCAGAGTCGGATCCTTCTGTCTTCAGACCCTGTAATAATAAATCCACCCCCTCCTGGCGGCGTAGCCCTCTCTTCTCCACCTATTCCAAAATCTGGCCTCGGCATACCGGATAATCCAGCAAAATCTGCCCCCACAACGATAGCGCAGACGTCCGCCAATTTGGGAACAGAATTCGGACTCTCTATCACAGATGGCTGATTCGCAAGACGAAGTAATGCTTGAATTGCTGCTGCAGGATCTTTCTGAGCGTCTTGCCCAATAGTAGCAGAGGGTTCAGCCTGCGGAACTTCCGGGTGTTGGGAAGGAGGAACGTTGTCAGATGAATCTTTTGTCTCAAAAGTTTCGACAAGAGTACTTGACTCGATATCCCACACTTCCAGTAAAACCGTCCCTCGTGTGGCTTCTCCAGGCGATGGCAAGGCTTCCAAAGCGAGTATGACCCAACGACCTCGTCCCTTGGTAGGATGGATAACACACTGGTTGATTTTCATCGGGCGGTCGGCATGTGTAACTCCGGTTTTCCAACTCTTGATAAGGAGGCCAAAGCGTAGATCCCACAACGAGAGAATGCCTGTAACGGTTCCCACGATCAACCAAGCTTTGCGCTTATCGAGCGCGAACGTGGATATTGGTCCATGATGGGAAGGATTTTGCAATGCCTGCAGAATTCGCATAGTTCGTAAATCTAAAACAACAATCCTAGCCTGGGTCGTGGTGTAAATTAAATTTGAAGAGTTTTCTACGGTAGAAGATCAGCATAATTTCTGGATGGAAATACAAATCCACTCACCAGTATTATAATGCGTCAGAGCTGTTATGTACTCATCGGTTTGTTCGACCCGGTGTTCCCTGACTATTTGCAGTTTGCTGTATTTAGGCATAGAGCTCCCTTGAGCGATATGAACTCGCACAACATGCAAACTGCCATCATCGCCTGCACTAGCAAAACAGTGAAACCCTTCCAGCATACAAACCGCAGTAACTCGTGCATGATGTTGGGTATACGTCTGTCTTGGCTTACTCGTAACATTCCTTTCGAGGCGAGCGGTGTCCCAGACCTTTACCGTCTTGTCGTCAGAACACGTCAAAAAGAACATATGATCGGGTGCCACTGCGACTCCGTTGATAGGCCCCGTATGCGAGGTGAGGTTGGCAATGAGAGAGGCCTCGGCGCCGCGACTTGTGTTGTGCATGGAAAAGACGCTTTGCCTTGGAGCATTCCGCCTTCGAATCGCACCTTCGTGCACCTTGGGACCGAAATCGTGCATGGCCTCTCGTGAGTTCTCATGATACAATTGTTCCAAAAGATCATGGATGCCGGGGTCT